GGAATTCTGGGAGTTGAAGTCCACCCGTCTTAAAGTTTCCAAGGTTGAGAAACACTGGCTTAGAAGATAGGAGGAAGCATCCTGGAGACAGGGAGAGGGACGCTGGTGGAGAACATCTTGACCAGTTTGCCTTTAAGATTGGCCATGCCTATATCGGCAATCTTCTGTGTGCCCAAAACTCAAAATTCTACATGTCCACCAGCCAATACAGTTGGAGATCCTGGAATTATCAGTAAAACTTCATCCTCCTCCTCCTCTGGTCAAAGAACATAAGTTTAGAGTAAACTACTTTACAGTAAAATCAGTCTGTCTAGCTCAGTATCACCCTGATTAACACTAGAGTTTCAGACAGAGGCTTTCTGTAGTTCTAAGGATTACACCTGGCTGGGACTTTATCTGCACAAAGCATGTGCTATCTCTGAACCTGGGTAGCCCTTTCTGAACAATAGAATGCACACTGCTGGCACTTTCTACTTTTCCCTTCTGTATTTTCACTAAACCACCATCTTAGAGCGGCTAGCAAATGATTCATTGAAATCTGAGCTTATCAGAAAGCCCACAGTGACAATTTATGTACATGCTGATGCAACAGATGACCTAGCCCAGCCCTTTTTACTGTATTGACACGCTGATTACAAGGAAGTTAATTGGAAATATTTACTATGAAAGTTCAAAATAGAGGTTACCTCTGATAGTTTGTTTGACATAATGTAATAAATGCTGAAGAACAAAGCTGTCTCCAAAAGCTACTTACTCCAAGTCTGAAATGAGGGGATAACTCTGATTTCTGATCAGGGTACTAATGGTAGCTAGCCTGGGCAAATAGGACTCAGTTTACATATGGTACTACATACGTTGGTTTGGTGTTAAATTTATGTTTATTTTGATCACAAACCTCACTCTTGTCTTTATTGACATTTATTTTTAATTAATGGAGTACCTTGCTGTAGTCTAAAAAGCCTACATATTCAATAGAAGTAATGTGTTTTATGGATTACATTCTTGTTGAGCAGGTTTTTGAAGATTAAAAGCTTTACCATTATATTTCAATGTCTGCTCCTAAAAAATTCTCAGAGGAGAAAAACAATGAGATTGTCTATAGTTCTTCCTAGTTTTGAAAACTGTCATTCACCATCATCTCTGTAATAGACAGAGTCATAAAGACTTAATAAGGGGTAAATACAGCTTTCTCTTATACAATGCCTCTGCCTATTTACCATGGCAATCATTAAAACTTAGTTAAGGTTTTCCATGTTTGATCATCAAGTTAACTCTGATATGACTCACTATTGTGTCCCACCAATGGGAAATTTGTGTGTATAATATATATATTATATGCCAATTCTTTTCCCACTACTATGATCTTTGTCCTATACTATGTCCTATACTATACTATAGATAAAAGTGGCAAGATATTAGAAAAACAATTTGCATGATGAAATACTTGCTTAAAAATGGTGATATGCTCCAAAAGACTATGGCATATTTAATTAAATATCATAAAGAATCATGAAACAGATAAATATCATAAAGAATCATGAAACAGATAAAACCATTCTTGGAGAAAATACATCTTATGATCTGATTTTCTCCTACCTACATGAGAATATTTTGGATTACACTATTTGTACTCAGGATTTCACAACTAATAAGGAATTTTAGTGTTACAAGAAATATGAATTCTAGCCAATGCTATGTGAGTTTTCCACCTATAATTTGTGATGCTTCTTCCAGGTTTGCTCTGGAGACCTCCTCCAGCTTCTGAAGCAGATTTGAATATGCATGTTCTCATTCATACAGTGATTAGGTGCCAAATGGGTTCATATAAAAGGCATGGGTAGAATATGGTAGGAAGTGGAAAGAAGCCAGGGATGTCAAAATCTGGAATAGCATAGAACATCTTCAAAATAATTCCGACCACTTTACAACTTGTTACATGAGCTCAAACAACTGATTTGATAATGTGTTAGACAATGTGCTATGTAATATATAAAAAAAGGCCTGCTTTAGTTGTGAATGGCTAAAAATATCATGTGCTTTTTCTTCCCAACTGCAGTTATATAACACTTGTGAGAAATGATCCTGAAATAGCTCAGGATTTTTATTTCAAAGAAAATAAAAATGTTTAGATACATATTATGCTAAGTTACTTTTTTTCAGTATGATTTCCTGTATTTGATTGACTAGGTACCATCAAGTTGATGTTGACTCTTGGCAACATAGATTTTCTTCCAGATGACCTGTCCTCAACCCGGTCCTTCAAGTCTTCCAATGGTGCACTTATTACTGCTGTAACTGAATCCATCCACCAGTTTGGCTTTGTTATGGAACAACATGAAATTGGACTATTGACAATAACTTCGTATTCTATAAGCAGAGGGTAACCTATTCCTGTGATACATGAGCAGTTTCAGTGTGGAAAGATTCATGGAAGATGCCACCAGATGACCATCAGTTTAGAGAAATGTAAATACAGAATGTGACTGTCTTAACTGCTGTAGAATTTTCCAGAATCAAAAGTAGATTGCCATAAATGTGTTAGGATCCATAATGGAAAAGAACAGTCATCTTCCTCCAGCTTCTCAAATGTATTTACTTGAACATTGTGTGACATAGAATGCAGGACCAGATAGACCTTTGCCTTGACTGATTTGTGCTCTTATAACTAGAAGCTATATTGCTCCAATAAGATCTTTCAAAAGGATCCTAAACAACTAGAACATTTTGTGACTCCTTTCTGAAGTCAAAATCAAGAAGTCTTTGTGTCAGTTATATTTCATGTAGAATGAAATAAGGGAATATTTTCATAATTCTGCCATCACTTCAACTTTGGAAATTAAAAGCCAGTTTAGATACTAAGCTTGTGCCATGCGTCTGGAAGGGCCTCAGAGAGATTACTACATTGCCTCTCGTGGCTCCTGTTAGAAATGCTTCACAAAGATATTTCAGCCTCAATTCTACTGACTCCTGTAGCTATCAAAAATTTCAAACCAAACTTCAAGTTAGCAAAGAAACAAACTTATAAAATGGTTTTGATCTAGTCTAGTGTAAGCCTTTTTCCTACTTTAGTTCACCTCACCATTGCTTATCACCTTCCACACTCTTCACCAAAGAATGTATTTCTGTGTCCCACTGTGGCTGCAGCAGGAAGGGGGAACAGCTGAAAACTGCCTGCTCTTTGATATTACCATAAATGCCTACTTGATTAAAAAAAAAAAACATTCTGGAAGCAGAATGGCAGCACTTGATTTCCATCCATAGATTGCCACTATGATCACAATTATTTTAAGACTCCACTGGTCTTAAACTTGCCAAGGTTGAGATAGATTGGTTTAACCTTTCCCTGAACATATCCAAGATAGGGAAGCCCATCACATCTCTAGGTAATTGGTTCCACTGTTGACCTGCTTTTCCTATCAGGAATTTTTCCTAACAGTCTGTCAAAATCTGCCTTTCTGTAACTTAAGTCCATTAGTCCATATTCTGCACTGTGGAATGTGAAAGAACAGGGCCTTTCTCCTGTGACATCCTTTCAGGTATTTGAAGAGTGCTATCATATTTCCCTGTAGTGTTTTCTGTAGGCTAAACCTACTCAGCTCTTTCAAACCCTCTTCATGGGATTTAGTTTCTAGTCCTCTGATCACTTGTGTTGATTTTTCCTAAATCCAATTTCTCTGACTCCTTAAAGTTCAGTGCCCAGAGCTGGACACACTACTTGAAGTGAGGTCTGCTCAAAGCAGAATAAACTGGCATGATTATTCCCCTTGATTTGGCAACTACACTTCTGTTCATGCAGCCTGAAATTACATATGCCTGTTTTGCAGACACTCCACCCTGTAAACTCATATTCGGTCTCTAAACAATTACTTTTCCAATATCATTTTCATAACTGCCATTACCAAGCCACAGATATCCCATTCTGTACCTGTGCACATGATTTTTATTTCTCATGGCAGAATAAAATCTGAACATTGCTCTGTTGAAGGCTTCATGCAGTCTTCCCTGTACTTTCTTTTCAGTTCTTGATTATGAAAGTGTGTTGAAGTTAATGTTAGTAACTAATTTAAAGTCAACATAAAATCATCTGTGTGTATCAAATGCTCATACAAATTAGAACGTACAGTACCCTTTTTAGTATTACTTCTGTTTTTATTTCTGTAAGAGATTATATGATTCATGTAATTTACAAATAAATATTTATTCAATACTAGATAGTGTTTGCATAAAATGTCACCAGGACCAAAAAGAACTTCTGTTCTTGCTATTGCACATACTGTTGTGTGTTTTAGTGGCAGGTAGAAGAGACTCCTATCATTTTGCATTTAAACAATACTTTAATATTCATCTGATAGTCCTTTTAATAAATAATTCTGATAGCACTTCATCTGGGGCAGGGTTCACTTCTTTAACTACTAGTCATCTTCATGAACTTCAGCCTTTCAGACTTTGTGCCCAGCATCCATCTTATCCCCACAGAGCAAGTAACACTGAAATTACAGCAATATATTCCTATTTTACTTTTTGTTAACATACCAAGTTATAAGATGACGCATGTAACCTTTAAAATGTTGTTGAATCCATTGGCACCATCTAAAACACCTAGGTAAAATAAATACACCATTCATTTCTGTATACTATTTTTTTTTCAAGCTCCTTTCATTACTTTTCAAATACCTATAATTTTGGAATGATTTCTGGGCTGACATGTATTTTGAATTATCCAAGGAAAACAGCATGTAGGAGAATGCATTCACTTTCTTAAAGAGGAGAGTGAAAAAAGTGTTATTTTTCAAAAGTAAAAGCTAATGTCTTATTTTGGCATACTTTTATCCATGGCACTCTTTCAACACCTATTTGAAATTGTTTTGAACATTTTCCCTGTTGGATACCATAGTGTGCTTCTTATGTAAAAAAAAGAAAAGAAATCCTGAATTTGAGAATTACAAGACCATCAGGTTTTAATAATGGTATATTGTTAAACAGTAGAATATGAAAAACAAAGAAGATCCTAAAACCAAATTATTAATGTTATGCAAATTGAGAGGTAAAGGAGTTTTGTACAATTCAATATCTGCATGAGGAACACAGATTATCTTGAGTATCCTTCAGACATTTAACAACCAATACAGAATGGTTAATGTTTAATAATCTGACGCTGTCCTAGAAACCAAATATTGTAATCAAGGGTAGTCATTTTAGGGGAAAAACGGTTACTAAACAATTCCATTTTCTCCACTGGGAACCAAAGCAGGATCAATTCCAAGTTGTTTCATTTGTACTGCAATGTCAAAAAGGTAGTCGTAACATTCACACCTGAAGTATACACAAAAGGGAAAAAATAAATAAATTAGGGTAGTTTTTTGGTTAGATACATTATGTTTTTGAATCTGTTATGTAAATATCTATCAACTAATTTACCAGTTCAGCAGAAATAAAACTGTATCTGAGTGAAAGTTTTTCATTATTGTACAATACCATATTTACAAAAAAGACAATCCTGAATTTAAGATGATACAGACAGAAAAAACTTGTATATCTCAAATACCTTACTCTCAGCCAAACTAAAAACAACCTTCTCCTTTTAAAGTAAATTATTTGAGGAAAAAACCCTAACATTTTGTTAAGGTGAATACAGTATCATTTTGGCAATAATATGACATTAAAAAATATTTCTCACTGCGGATGAACAGAATTCTGAAGTACTAGTATTTTCCTTACACTTAGTTTGTAAAATATAACTACTTCCCCTACCACCACTCAAAAATCCATTTTAAATTTTGAAGCACATGTTGTTATAACAATAGAAGCTCTGCAAGTATTTATAAAACAAGTGTGAAGATCAAAAGGTACACTGGAGAAATATTTTTATGCTTGGTGATTGGAATAATTCCCAATTCTCGAAAACAGAAAAATCAAGTGAACTGGAAGCACGTATGCTTCAGCTGTACCTATATGTAACATTAAGTAGTTCAGGAAGAGACAGACCCACCAATATATTGTTTTTCTTCCTCACTGTACTCACATTGTCTTGGCTTTTTCCCAAGTTTCACCCCAAACATAAACACCATGACGCCTGACCAGCACGGCACAAGTATCTGGATATGTGTTCATTGCATGTGCCATCCTCTCCTTCAAGTCCTTCTCTTCGGGTGTATTCTCAACAATAGGGACCACTAACATGTCATTGTATCTGAAAAGATGAGGTTGTATTGTCATGAATAATATGGTCCCATTCACTTTAGCCTCTCATATCTAGTAATAGTTGTATTGCTTGTTCGATGTATTTTTTATTTATGTTTATTTATTTATTTATATGTCAAATTTGTCACTGCCCATCTTGTTAAAACGACTCTGGGCAGTTTACAAAGCGCTTAAAAACAATTAAAATTACAGTATACAAAAATCCTAAATAAATAAATGATGCATAAATCCAAGGATAGATGTTAAAATTGGCAGTCACTTGGGGAGCATCATCATTTAAAACATTTATATCCATGTTTTCTCTTTAAAGTATCCAAGGTAACCAACAATTAAAGCAAGCAATAATTGCCTCCAAATTTCAAAACTAAGAATGTATGAAATCATTACAACAATGATTGCTAGCTATAAGATTATGTGTAATTTATCTTAAACATAACAGTGAAAGATATTGCACTTTTCTTACCAACAGTCCATCGTATTCTGCATTGTTTCCAAACAGTAGCAACATGCACTGAACCAGAAAATAACCATTTTGTTATTACTGTATTTACCCAAAAGGAAGATGAGCCTAAATGTAAAATAGTCTTCCCAAAAAGGAAGGTAGACAGAAAACACACACACACACTTATCTCTCTTGCACAACAGAAACAACTCCACCAACCCAGGAAAAAACTGGACAGAGATGGGATATGGGAAGGAAAAGAAAGTAAATAAATGAAGAGGGGTTGTTTTCTGAAAGCAGCAAAAAGCGATTGGTGCTTGGTTCAGCAAGCATAAACCTATGCGTGCTTACACTGCATTCAACTCTTCAACTTTGAATTGAATGGCTCTTATTCTCAGGAAATTAATTGCAGACCATGTTTAACACAGTTTACTCCATATGGTAGTTGGAGGAGATCCATGGGGGCTGGAGAAAGCAGCTGGTGGGTGGGGTTATTTCTTTGGAAAATAAACAAACATATCAGCTGAGACATTTGTCCTGGGCTGCAAAGCAAATTGAGGTTAATACATGTTTACTTGGTAGCAAGCTCTACTGAGTTCAGTGGCTCTTACTCCTAGGTAGGCATGCTTAGTCCTGTTCAACTGTTATGAAATCTGGCCACAGCTTACTTAGGTTCAAGAAGGAACGCAAACAAATATTCTAGCCCTGATCTCCTCTTATTACCCTCCCTATAGAGAGGCTGAATGTCAGTAATGGCAGATTTATCTGGTGGCTATTTGAATGATTGAGCATTCCGATCTTTAAAAATCTTAACCCAACCCTGGTATTCTGCTAAACAGAAGTAACAGTAGCAACTTGTTTCCTTCTTCTGCCTCTGTTCCAGTCATCTGCTTTCATTATCTGCTCCCTCTCCTTGCTTTCAACAGTTGTTGGTCAGTATTACTATATACAGTACACAGAATATCTGGGGTTCTAAAAGCCTAGTATTATTACTGGAAAAGTAGGGAAGAGAACATTGATCGGAAATCAGATTCCTTTTATCAAACTACATAATATCTACCTATGTTTTCCCAGTAACTTTGGGGTCCTGAATTAAGAGCACACAATGTAAACTTGGTAGCTAGTTTTTTTTTTAATAATGATGATACATAACATGTTTACAGCATTACCCAATTGTAGTTGTTATGACACATCCCCAGTTTCATGGAGGACATGTGGAAACATCCCCTTTCAGACTGCTGTGCTTTTCAAGGTGTCTAGAATTATGTGTTCCAAACTTAAGTTTTCTAGGTAAAATGTTAGCATACCCCTATGTAAAAGAGGAGCTGCAGCATCTTTTATTTAGAGTAGCGATATATTATCCTACAATCAAGTAAGTATGAAGTATATAGGTAGTAGTCTGCCAATTTGAATTAAATTGGTTTAAACAGTGCCAAATTAACTTAATCCCACTTTGTTATTTATTGTGCAAAATCCAGTGAGTAATCTGCTGAATCTTGTTCATAGCTGAGATATTTAGAATGCTATTTTAATAACATCAGTCCACTGAAATGTCCAAGCAGTTTTACTTAGGGACTTTAGCTTAAGTTTCACTGAAGTCAGACCTTTGTTTTCTCTCTCAATTTCATAATGCAAAAATAGAGGTTCGTTCATAGAATAGTTGGGTGGAATAATCTTCACAAAATTAAAAGGTGCTTTAGATGAATAGTTAAAGCATATTAGAGTGGCAGATGGACAAAATAATCTTTTGTAATGGGTGAAGGTGGTAGTTTAATCCCTCCTGCTAACAGAATATTTTTTGCCCTTCTCACTTTATCCCTCATACCTTCTCCAAATTTCCAAACAACTAAGTGATTGCCCTATTTTTTTATGATACACAGAATAAAGGAGATTTGTTTTAATCTGAAAAGAAGTCATTTGTTTTCTTTGAATAGCTACTTGTGAATTGAGAGGGTGGGGCTTTGAACATATGGTACTGTAACTATACACTACTGTTGTACCTATCAAGACAAATTTATAAAGAGCAGGATAAAAAGCTTGTCTTATCATTTCTGGAAGAAGTTTCATGTAATTGGGAGCATGTGATTGGGATGGATTCATTTTAGATTATGGGAGTTTTGAATAAAAGTTGAATGCAAAAATGATAAAGGTTCTTATAGCACTTCAAAGACTAGCAAATCAATTATCATAGAAGCTTTTGTGGGTCACAGTCCCCTTCATTCAATGGATAGTGTGATAATGTCTTTAAGGATTCTATTGTTTTGTTACAAAAGACTAACACTGATGTTAAAAAATTGCATATATGAGGAAAAACTCAGTACTACTCCAAAACTATTTAATGGAAATTACCTGAAATATCCCCCTGTAGTACATTTCTTGATTCCTTTTATCATCTCCTGATGAGTTATTTTAAACTCTTTTCCTGGATACAAAAGTGTGGCCATTACAGCAGCTTTGGAATGAGTATGAATCACTGCTCCTGCTCCTAAAATAATAGTTTTAAAGAAAACACAATTCAAAAATTCAATGTTCGTTCTTCTTTCATATATTCAAGAATCAAACTTCTTAAATGCAGATTACCTGACTTGTATTTTAAATAAAAAAGGAAACAGATTGAATCCTATCTGTGGTATCCACAACAAATTCTTTAAAAGATCGTCAAAGACTAAAAAAAAAAAAAGACCTAACTCTTTTGGGGCTTAAGAAATTGTTCCATGTGATCGATTGGTGTTTATATAGGTATATGTGGAAGGGGGCAAGTGATAAAACGTGTAACATGACATCACAATGCAAACTTCATAATTTATGTCTCCCATTGGGATGCAAGTATGAAAGGGCGGGGTCATGACATGTGGTAGTTTGAGTTTCATTATTTCTTCATCATTATGGTTACTTGAGTACACTTACGTATGCATTTAGCAGCATGTACCTACCAACACACTGGGACTGTGATTCCCAGCCATACTGACTACATATTCTGGAAGTTACTGGTCTCAACACATCTTTAGAGAAGGTTTAGGAAAAGCAGAGGCAAGGTGGTACTGCTTATTATCAGAAGTATTAGGACTGTGACTATTAAAGGAAATTGTCTCTACATCACTAGTACCTATTATAATAGTCTTACAATAGTCTCTTCCAAAACACTTTTAACACTGGGATGCTGCCACCAACAGACTAGAAGTAGAACTGTTTTAATATTCATAATTTCTAGTCCTTAAAACTTGCATGTCTGAGAATAAATAAAAGGATGGATGTAATGTTCTCTGGTTATAATTCTCTCTATATTTATTTGGATGTGGGAAGCCTGGAAGACTCATTGACTTCAGCTGGATTTCTTCTGAGTAAACATATATAGACTACACCTTAAAAATCAAAATCTCCCTCTATTTGGATTTTTTATTCATCCCCATCCTCTATTTCAGGATACACAAAATGCATTTAAAACCTACCTATTCTTAATATAAGGCATGAATTATCAGAAGCACAGGATAAGTTTTCTTTGCACACCATTCCAACTTTCACTTCCCTCCCATTTCTTTTTTAATCCAACCAGCAGGGGACTCATAGATCAGCCACTAACTTAGGAAGCGTACACATACATTAGCTATTTTTTTTATTTATTACATAAAACTACAGTAACTGCTACAACAAAAATTCCATTAGAACTTTGAATATTGTACTTATAAAATAGAGTTATTATCAATGAATTTGCTGTAGTTTCTAAGTTGTTCCAAGAACACATTATTACAGGGTCAGCTGTTCACACTGCTATCAAAATATATACAGGTAGTCCTCAAGTTACAACAATTGGGACTGGGAATGCCATCACTAAGTGATGCAGTTGTAAAGCACGATGTCATGTGATTGCATCGCTTAGTGAAGGCAATCCCAGCAGTCCTGGTTGTGTCATAATCCCAAGACCATAGAACCCTATGGTTAAGTGGGAAGAAGCAAGCAGGCTGGCAGGTGCTGCAGGTGGCCTCTAGGGAGCGTGGGTGGACCAGTGAGGGCAGCAGGTGGGTGCTGGGGAGCTAGTGAGGGCCGTGGGCACTGGGCCCAGTGGGGGCCATGGGCAGGCACTGCAAATGGGTGAACGGGGGAGTGCTACAGAGTATGAAAATCCTGGGATCCTGTAATCCATAGTGGGGCTCCTCAAGAGAAAAACCAGTGGGAGCAACTTAACCTGCTGGCTTCCACATTGACTTTGCTTGTGGGAAGCCAGCAGGGAATGTTAGAAATTGTGATCACATGACCACAGCTCCCGGTGACGTTGTAATCGTGAGCTGGATGCCTCATTGTGCTGGCTGCTATGATTGTGGGAGCACTGCAATGGCCACCTCTTCGCAGACTGGTCGTAAGTCCCCCTTGTTCAGCACAGTTGTAATTTTGAACAGTCCCCGAACAAGTGGTCTTAAGTTGAGGACTACCTGTAAAACCACTCCTAGCTGATCTTCAAAGGTTCAAACCCTCAGCAGTACTTGGATGGGGGACTCCCTGGGATGCTCTGGGAGTCAAAAAGCAACAACTATCCCACAAGCACTGACAAACTGCAAGAAAACTGCAAGGATGCAGGCTCAGGAGCTAACTACATTCTTCAATTATATAAAGTAGCTTAGGGGTCTTCCTCTACATCAGCATGCTAACTCTGAAAAATGAATAGAAGGGGACCAAATCTGGTATGGGGTGAGAAACTGGCAAAAGAAAGATGAGTTCAAAAATGGGCTGAATCAGGCTGAAGGTTATGAAGGGGAAAAAAAAATCCAGAAAAAACCTCTGCTAAGGGAGAGGCCAGTGACTCAGAATATTGCCAGTTTCTGGGGGCCCCTCCCTCTTGGCCATGTTTTCTACAGCCAACCTATTATTAAGGGATTCGAAAGAATTCCAGAAGCCACGCTTTATGCACTTTCCTATCTTTTTTTTCTTTTGAAAAAAAGGATTGTACTATATCTTCACCCAGACCTTTGGTGAAGACGACTGAAACCTCCTTTTAACCTAGGTTGTTTTGTTTCCACCGGTTTGTTATCCTGCTATCACTAGCCTTCTTTTGTTTCTTGTTTTTATCATCTTGTTTTTAAATGTTTTAAATCATTTGTAAATCACCCAGAGTCACTGGGAGTCAGGTGGCATATATAAATTTAATAAATCCTCATCCTCATCATCTGCCTTCCAGTCATGTTATAGTTCCACTTACAAAATCACTATATTATCAATAGCATGTACCTCCAAGAATATTTAGGACAAACCTCTTATGATATAAGCGTTCATGAACAGAGGTGTACATTGACTCTTCTTGAGTTTCTTGTGTGATGGAGGGCCACTGATGTCCTTTTCTTCGATATCACACACAAACATATCTTCAGGCTATAACAAAACAGCAGAAAGCTGGGATAATCATAACTTTCCAGCAAAAAATATTTACTTTAGGAAGATTTGGCAAATCATGAAAACCTATTTTTAGGCAAGGGTATTTCAGAAAAGCTACTAGAACAAATGCATCTTGATACAATCACTTCATTTTATTGGGATTCTGAGTAAATGTACCTTGGTCAGGCAGACGAGCACCTATGGAAGTACACATTATATTCCAGAAAGTCCCAAAATACCCCGTCCAGGTTCAGACTCAATAGAAACTGGTTTTTCTACTGTGCAGGAGAAGCTGCCTATAAACAGCACTGACTGGCTAATGCTTGTGCTTTCAGAACTCTGCTTTTCCCAGACCTGCAGCACTTTTACAAGTCCTTAAAAAGGATTCGTCCATTCAAAGGCAAAATAAAGTGAGAACCTTCTGAAAAAATAGCCTAGCAAGATATATAATCAACTATTTTGCATATCGTGTAACGTCTTATGGTTTTAGAACTAAATTTTGATAACACTTGGAAGACTACTTGTCCCCGCTTCTATAACAGATACAACATTGATATGCATACAACCTACTGAAGTAATGTATCACAGTACAATGGGAAGTACCACTGAGTTCACTAAGATTGCATTTAAGTAAGAGAATATATTGTAAATTTAATTATTCTATTTTCTACCTAATGTGCTTGCTTGATTTTAGTGGGCTGACACTAATAAATGCTAATATTTGCAATTACTACGGCCTTGGTGATGTTTTCAAACATTTCTCTTTGAAAAGATTAAACAAACAAAAGAAAACTGAGACTGCAATTACCCATAATCCATCTTCTAATTCTGGCACATTCAAATGAAGAAATAAACACAGACTTATTTAAATATGTACATTGTAATCAAATCCCATTTAATTTAGTGGAGCTTACACCCAGATAAATTGGGATATGATTCCAGCCTTAAATCAGAAAATAGGCATTAATATTGATGAAGATTAATGATGCAATCTTAGAGGCTGTAAGTTAATTCTAACTAATAGCACTGCTTTTTATAATAGTATCATAAAGTTTGTGAATTATAACTTTTCATAGTTACAAAAACATTTCTTTTAAAATCCAGTGATGGACTGTAGTATAATGCTTCAGGTGCTTCTCATACAGGACTAGTATTTTCATTGTTAAAAAAATGTTGGCAACATTCTAGATTTATAAAAAAGGGAACCCCTTCCCACCTACCTCCCAATTCACCGATGGTTTTCCCCAAAGCCAAAAAGTAAAAATCTGTATTTGTTCTTGCCCAGTAAGACTCAGATGGAGGAAAGTTGGAAACTGCTGCCCTGACTGTGGTCCTTTTGCAATGCCTTGAAAACAAAATTCCCTATGAGGAAATCACTTTATGCTACTGCTGTGGGGGAGCAAGGAGTAGGAGAGAAGGCTCTTCCCCCTTTTTGCTACCTGCCAATCCCCCCCCCCCCACCACCACATGGATCCTGCTTTGGGGGAAAGATGGGAGGCAGCATAAGGATGGTAAAGTGTGCGCTTCACTTCTATTCACTTGCTGAACAGCTGACTTGCTGTTCCAATCATGGCTGGCAGTGGTCCTCTCCAGCCAGCGCAGAGGTCATGGCAGGGACTGTCATGGAGAGAAGCAGCTAGGGATCTCTGCCTGGGGAGAATGAGCAGGAGAGAGAGGCAGGCACAGAGCCCCATGGCTGAATGGGAAAGGATAGACCTAGAATGGGCCAATTGAAGTTGTGCAGGTCCCAAACTGCATCAGGCTCCTCCCTTATGTAAATGTTTACACAGAGGAGTTTTTATACCATTTTCTACTGGAAAACATTCCTTTCTTACCAGATCCCTTTGATTCATCTTCAACTTGCCCTAGTGGCAGGCTGGTGCAGAGATGGAGGCTCCTGAGTGAGGACATGTCCTCAGTGACATGGGAGCAGGCCATCTGTAGAAGGCTGAGGAATGGCCTTGAAGGACAGGAGGAAGAGTCATTACCAAGGCAATGGTCAGATAAAAGGGGCCTGAGCCTGGGCCAAGAAAGTAACATAAATGTATCAGACAAGCCCCTCCCTAGTTTACCTGAAGATAAAATTCTGTTACTACAGCTTTACCATAAAAGTAATATGGCACTGATTTCCTAGTATGGTCTACCTTGAAGGGATGACATCATCTCAGAGCCAAGGCAAGCAAGGTGTGTGGATGATCTGTACGTTTCTTCACTGGTAATTGCCAAATAATTATAGAAAACAGTAGCTGATCTAGGATTTTTCATACAGGAGCATGAAATAGTAGACAAGTGTGACTTGCTTGTATGGCTTCTAGGAAGTTTCTCTATCGTGGCCTGTCACAGCAATTGTCTTTTGGCCATCTTATAGGAAGGGATTATCCTTCTACACATGGATAAAATTTCCTAATCACATGGTATACAAAAGAAAAGATCCCTAAAATATACTTCACTCTTGCTGCCCCACTCATTCATATTGTCTCCTATAATCTCATATAGTCCAGAGAAACCTAGTAAGAAAAGAAAATGAAAATTCTTCTTAAAAATACATGCAGTAGCAATCCAATACATGTTTATCTAGAAAGAACTCAGTGGGACTTTCTCATGAATAACTATGAATAGGCTGTGGATTTACTTTCAAGGCTATAATCAAGATAAAAATACTACTCATACTTAACCTGTATTCTTTCTTTCTGGACACCAGATGGAGCAATATATATTTCATTGCTGGGAGGGAGGGAGGGAGGGAGGGAGAAAACAGAATTGTAATTGTAACTATACAGCAACAGGAAAAACAAAGCTTCATTTACAGACACAACAGGATGCATAATATTTGCTTCTGCTACTACATCTTGGCAACTGTGCTTAACAAATTGCTCTAGGTTCAGCTAGTTCGAGAACAACCAGCATTAATGCAATTGAGCTACATTTCTAATCCCTGACATTCTGTCTCACCAATACAATCACTGTGATTATACAGAACAAGTTTCAAACATGGTCACTTTAAATTGCACCAGTGTAAACATATATACTTATTGCAGAGGCACCAACAGTCAACTTAATTAAAAGAAGTCATGGGGTCCTGCTAGGAAAAGTGGAAACAAAGCTTGATGACCAGTGTTTATGGCTAAAAGAGAAAAATATTTCACACATATCTATATAAAATCTGTGGGGTAGGATAAAATAAAGGAAAATCCTTCAAGAACTAGTTTTAATCATCATTATAATACGCTAAGTATTTAAAACTTTTGGAATCATGAAGAACAGGGACACCTAGTGGTTAATTAGCCAGGTAAAACCAGATTTCCTAGTATTTGAAGGCAAAGTTAGTATTATTTTTACGTCAGAAAGGAGTGGCAGAGATTCTGTCTTCATGAATCAGATCTCACTGGATCACTAAACTGTAAAATATTTGCAGACAGAATAAGAAGCCTGCAGCACAGCAGTTGGGAATGTTAAGAATTTAAGTATTTGTAACGTGTTTGTTCCTAATGTTAACACATTCTCCAAGTCACTTATACAGCAATATGCTTGTTCTAACCCATTACTTTTTTTTTTTGCTTTGGTATGTATAACATCTGGATGTAATAGCAGAGAACAGATGATGGAAAAATATTTCTCTTCTGTGGAAAAAATTGATTTTATAATTTTCCTCCCTCGCCTAAGACAGACAAATATAAAAATAACTTCATCAGCTATATACACGCAATTGACACAAATAGAGCTGTAATTAACACTGAACACCTTTTAAAAACCTTTGTAACTGAAAGGGACAATATATTGTATTTTATGATGTAAACCTACATACACACAATAATATTACTTTCAAAGTATAGGACTTAATAGTTAACTACAGCAAGATGTAGATCCCCTAAATCAACTAGCTTGTACTGGTTCAGTTCAGACTGCTAGTCTAAATGGCGCAACAATGATTCCAAAATAGATCATTATTCTCAATAAGGTCTTCCATAAGTCTTGTGCTTCTATATTTTTCAACCCTGGTGCTCAGGACCCACTACTGCCATCACTCTTTGGACTTAGTCAGTGCTTGACGGAGGCCCGATTGGAATCTGGGGATACAGGAACATCAGTAGCAGAAAATGCTGTTTTTCCCTGCTCTTTCTGCTACATTCTGGCTCCTAGTCCTCAATAGTCTCCAAGCCCGCTCCTCAAAGGGGTCCACATAAAATAATCTGTATTACCCTTTGAAGCACAGTTCAGTATTTCCCTAAATTAACAGAACATTGTTTTCCTACGACTTTGGTAAAAAAAAAAAAAATCCACGATAATGCTAGTTTTGAGTGTGTGAATCAAAGATCTTGGGTAAAATGAGGTATGAGAGGGTTTATGCCCCCTGTGTTTTTACCTAAGGATTTTTCCTCAGTATGTTGCATAAACATTTCCTTTATCTTAAACCAAACCCTTTTGAGTTTTTCAGCACCTTCTCTCCCAACTGCATAAATTCTTCTTGTTCCCAATATTGAGACTGAAAAACCTTGGGCAAACAGGTTAGTACAGTTTCATTTAAAGGAGCAAAATTTGCATTAAAATTATTTATGTGGACAGATTACATGAGTTTCCTTTTATTACCACTATGTGGAGCTAATAATCCACAAATGAATATACTGAAATGGCTTCAATTAGAAATGACTCCTAGAAATCTCCAAACCACCAATAAAACAGTTTTGGATTGATAACATTTGGGAGAGTATAACTGTATACAAGATTAAACAAAATGTGTATGCAGTCATAAAGCTAATTCAGCAAGAAAGGAATCTGAATTTTTTTAAAAGACATTGTGGCACCATGGTTGAGATTTTTTCCATTGGTGGGAGATTTCCAAACTTCCATATGTTATAGAAGAAAGATCCCATATTTCATCAGGTTGAATGATTATAGTTATCTAATAGGCTTATTAGTGGTATAGTAAATATTCCAATCAATGAAGGTATTTTATTTCTTTAGTGATTTTGTATCAATAATGTGTGTTTTCATTACAAATAATTCCTATGTACTTTTCTTTAGAAATACTAGAGAGATGTCTCTACACAAAATTGTCTGCTTTGTGTTCTACTGTTAACCGGTAGATTTATTGTAAATTATGCTGAAAGCATTTGAATTATTTAAGCAACACAAGAGTGCTAAGATCGTTATCAGATTCCACGTTTTAGTTATTATACTGCATGTGTATCCTGTTATAATATCTACTTAGTTTGAGTGTCCTGAAGATTGACATGCACTTTAATGTGTGTTGTGTTTTATTTCTCACAAGCTCTCATTTGTCAAAAAATGAGCATGAGTTAAAAACAATTTTAAAATCCCTCATATCACTCACCCATGTTTCATGCTGATTCCACCACCAGTTCCTGTAACCCATCCTAAGTGATAAAACTGCCGGCAAAGTTCTGGAATCAAATTCCTTGGATGGACACTCTCCTACAGGGGGGGAAAAAAACCCGCTCATTTAATATTTTTAAAAAATATGTCTGTAGTAGTTAGCTGATTATTCAGATTAAAGAGCTGCAGTATTTATATTTCCTGGAGAAAATCTCTGAGCTGCCCAGAGTCATGTAATTGAGATGGGTGGCCATATAAATCAAATAAATAAATAAGTGATTACTGAGAGACAACACTGACTTGACAGTACATAAACAATCAGTAAACTATTTATTAATTTGATGCCGCCCAACTCCAAACAACTCTGGGTGGTTCACAATATACCAAATCATGTAAAACTAATATAATAAGAAACTACAAAAGCAAACTAGAAAAGAATAAAAAGAAAAAAATACATTTCTATCCCGCTGCAATCCAAACTCTTGGCAGCTTATATACAGTATAAAATCAAATAAAAAGTCAATTAGACAACCCCATCCAAACGAAAACTGCAAACAATAATAATAGAAAATACAAATGGCTTAACGAAGTCAGGAGAAGGCCCTCTGAAACAACTCAGTCTTTAAAAGCTTCCAAAACGTTAGCAAGCAGGGAGCTAGCATGATCTCAGTTGGGAGTCTGTTTCACAGCACTAGCGCTGCTATGGAAAAGCAGCGTCTCTTTGCTTCAGCCCCCAGACTACCCAGAAATGCAGATCAATAGCAGTTTTTCTCTGCCCAATTAAATTGGTGGGAATAGGGGGTCCTGCAGATATCCATGCATCAAGCCCTCAAGGGCTTTATAGGTTAAAACTAGCACCTTAAATTGTACTCGGAAACCAATTGGCAGCCAATTTATCTGCAAATCCAGTGTTATATACTCCCAATGACAGGAGCCAGAAAGTACACAGGCTGCTGCATTTTGGATCAACTGCTCTGAGTAGTTTTTAAAGTACAGCATATAGTAGCTCAACAGATCAGCCCTTCAAGGTAGATCAAACTAGGAATTCATTATGTAGGTTGGTACTACTTTTATTGTAAATCTATAGTTACAGAATCTTGCAGGTCTTGAATGCGCCTCTCCCTTCCCTCCCTTTATCTTCGTGAGCATTAAGGATGGTCTTGTCTGAGATGTTTACTCAAATTAGATTCCTGCCTCAGACTCAGTCCTTTTTTATTTGACTATTGTCTCAGTAGCAGCTCTTCCTCCTGTCACTCACGGCCATTCCTTCTGCCCTCTACAGGTGGTGATAATGGCATGAGTTAAAGTTGCTAGGTCTTCCTGCCCCAGCTAGGGTTGAAACTAATGCATCAGCCAAAGCTGGGCATAGGTCCCTCTGGCTTGGCTTCTACTTGCTGTTCCAGCAGAAGCCGTGAGTCCAGAAGGACCCCAAATTTGTAAGCCTGCTCTCTGATGGCTAGTGCTTGCCCATCAAGGAACAACTCTGTCAGTGACAGAGAACCTTGATGAATCTATAACAGCTCACATTTACTAGGGTTCAACTTCAGCCTATTCTCTTCTAACCAGACCCTGATAGCCTCCAAGCCACCAGGAAAGGATAGTGACAGCATCTCCCTCATGGCCCGGAGTAGCAATTTACAATTGGGTATCATCCACATAGTGGTGATACCGTAGCCCAAACTGTTGGATGACCTCTCCCAGCAGCTTCATATAGATATTAATGGCATCAAAAGATGCTGAGAGGTCCAGTAAGACCAGGCTGCACTACTCCCCTTCAGATTTTGACAAGTCATCTAGGAGAGAGTTTTGAATACACCTTCTTAAAATGCATAACAGATGCTTCAATTTAAATATTTCATTATAACTGAGTAGCCATAAATTTTCTCAGAAAAGAACCACTTCCTTTTTGGGATAAAAAATAAATTAGGTTTCTAAAACTCATTCCACTTGCTTGAGTAAGGCTGTCAGCAGTAACAAACTTAAAAAATGGCTTTTAAATGGAGTTTTCCCTGAAATTATCATTAACAACTACAGTTTGACATCCTTCACTTTCCACATTTAAACAGATGCAAAATAACAACTCCAGAACAGTTAATGCAAAAAAGGAGTTGACAGAATGCAGCTTTGTACAACCTCTTCATCACTAATATGGATTTGGTTATAGAAATAAAACATCCTTTGAAATTGTTTATATTAATATATATAAACTAGCCTTTATACATGTACTGTTGCAAAATGGTATACATAGTTCCATAAGCTGAAAGGTTTTTCTCATTCAGTCTCTTTCAAGATAATTGTCAGCTTATGTTACATATCAAAGTAATGCCAGACATTTGTAAAAGGATTTGCCGAGGATTTATAAGATTACTAGACAACCCGTGACTCGCTGGGTCGTCCTTTCAGAGGTATTTCCTTATCTAAAGAGAGAAACAGAATGACCATGGGCGGGCAAAAAGGCAGTGGGACCGGGAGTGACTTCCTGCTGGCTTCCCCATTGATTTTGCTTGTGGGAGCTGGCAGAGTGTGTCGGAAATTACTCCTTCTCCTCCTCAGCTGACCTGTGGAACTGCCTGCCACTTTGCTGGGGGGAGGGGAAATAAAGAGAACCGTGGACTGCAAGGAAAACTGCACCCCTGCTCCCCATCCCAGTGTGTCCCTAAGGGAGGAAGAGGGCTCACCAGTCAACTGTCAGCACCCCCCCCAGCCAGTCCTACCTTGCCAAAAGGCATCCAAATCGCTCCCTTGTCCTTCCATCAATGCCCACCATGTTAAGAGATTTCAGATTTCAGCCTCGCATCCAAAGCAGCCAATTACCGCTCACTCGTTGGGTCTTGCTACCAGCCGATTGGGCTAAACGGTGGGAGCAGGAGCGACTTCCAACTTCCAGCCGGCTTCCTCATTGACTTTAGTTGTGTGAAGCTGGCAGGGAGTATTGGAAATCACTTTTCCTCCTCCTCTGCTGACCTACAGGACTGCCTGCCACCTTGCTTGAGGAAAGGGGAACAAAGGAAGCTGCAGACCATGAGGAAAGCTACACCCCCACTCTCCATCCTGGTGTGTTCCCAAGGGCTCTCTCCCTCCAGAGAGGAAGAAGGCACACTTGTCAACCGCTGGCACCCCCCAGCCAGCCCTACCTCACCAGCAGGCATCCGAATCGCTCCCTCGTCCTTCCCTCACTGCCAACCACCGCCTTACTGCCAGCCAATTGGGCACAGGGGCCAGAGGGAGGCAGGAAAGAGGGTGGGGATATGCCTCTCCCACGTTCCCTTGTGCCACGCAGCCTAAGCATTTCTGGGAAGTGTAATTGGAAGGTGCAGTAACGCTGTAACGGTCACAACTTTGCCAAATTTCAATCCCACGGGAGTAACAGATCCCAGATTTTGGACATATTCTTTAAGTTAGCCCATTTGAGGTATGTTGATTCAAAAATTGTTAACCTATGATGCACCATTTTGCCCAACTGAAGGTTACAAACAGATAAACCCTGAGAGTTTTAGTAGTACAGTTAGTCCTTGCTGTTTGGTTAATGACAGTCTGAAGTTACAATGGCCTCTAAAAAAGTACTTTACAACCTGCATTCACACTTATGGCCGTTGCAAACCATCACACCACCCCCACAGTTGCATGACTGCAATTCAGGCACTTGGCAACTGGCTTGCATTTACAACTGGTTGCAACTCCTGCAGTCATTTGATTGTGATTTGTGACTGTTTTTTCTGGTTTCTGGCAAAAAACATCCACTGGGGAAGCTGGATTCACTTAATGACATGATTTGCTTAATGACCACATGATTCGCTTAACAAATGCAGTGATTCGCTTTACGACTGTCGTAAAAATAGTTGTAAAATTGGGTCCAGTCACATGGTGACTCACTTAATGACTGTATTGCCTATCGACCAATTTTCTGGTCTCTGTTGTGTTTGTTAAGTGAGGATTATCTGTATATAGATTGTTAAGCCATAGGACTGAAATACATTGAGAAAAAAATTCCCAAGTTCCTTTAACTGCATTTCTAAGAAATGTTAGATATTTATTCATTGTGTTTCCTATTAAATTGTACAAGAACTGTAAAGCACATTAAAAAAAATGTAGATAAATCTGATCTGCAGTCCATGAACTTCCTTTCTATACTCTTTCTAATCTCACACTAAATTGTTCCTGTCTTGTGTATGAAAGATATTTATCTCTAGATAATCTGAGTTCTCTCCTAAATTGTAAAAGAATCGTGAGTCAAACATGTTATCAATGCATACTTCCTGAAATAGATTTACGTAAGTAAAAGAATACTCCCTGGAATATTTGTGCAGTATCTTTTTTTAAAAAACCTTTCTGTCACTTTCCATAGTCTGGCTAACTAATTAATTTATGGCTCTAACGTGACACATTATATGGTCCTTCCTCTGTGCAGGTTTCTCTGACGTGGTGTCACCAGATCCCAGATTCAAAGTTAGAGTAAGGAATATGAGCTGTTTTCTATCAAATTAGCTCTTAACTTCTTTTTCCCAGAATCCTTTTCTTTTCACTGGCTTGTAATCAAATGCTTTTTCTTGGAGATTTTCAACAGCTGTTTCACAAATATTCTCACCAAAATTAAACTGTACAGGTAGGGCTACTTCTGTTACAGTACCAAGCAAATGCTTCCCCAAACAGCAAGTAGCCAATTCTTATTCTACTGTCTTTTTAAAGATCCATATTAGATGTTTTCTTATTTACATATCTTTCAAGCTGCAGCTTGAATTTTTGAATTGATACAAAAATCTTCCCAAAAATGTTAAGTGCAGTTGACAGCTGCTAAAATTGCCACCTTTAATTTAAGATTCCATGAATATTTTTGTGTTCTCACTGTTCTTCTACACGGGCTATTAATTCTTCATTCATGGGAAACCAATCTTTGCTAACATATTTGGATTGGCTTTTGCTGCAACATTCTTCTCCTTGTGCAGCAAACTATAAGAAAGTCCTAACCAGGCCAATCTGATCAAGGTTTGCAATTCTAGTTTGGATGTAAAATGACAAATTACAGTTCAGATGCAATGGCAAACTATGTTTTGGCGCAAAAAGGAGACAACTGATTATTATATATGCATGACTTCCATGTCCCACTATGTAAGAATTATGAAGAATTCTGCTTTAACAAATTGATCATTCCTGCTAAGAAAATCCTGTAAGCAATGGGAAAGGTTTTTCTATGCCTTGTTTAGCACAATGGACAGACTGAGGACTCCCCATCAGAGCAGTTTATAAACTTGAAAATCAGGAATAAAACAAGTTTTCTATCTCTAGCTTGTTAGAAACCAGACATGTTTAGTTATAATGCCACAAAGTTATTTGTTTTGGTTTCTTGGATTTATTGAATAAGCTATAAAGCAGAGGTTTTAAAACAAAAACGGCTGTATTTATAGGTATTCCTGCCATTATTTTATAAACCAGAATTTGTTGAATAAAGCAACATTGATTGGTTTCATACAAATCAAACAAGAGAAGTACAGAATGACTTCGTGTAACATCTCCCCCTTCCCTCCCCCCACCTAGGCACTATTAAGATTGTGGATCTCCATCTCACAGCTTTCCCCAGCTAGCACAACCATGGCTGTGAAATTTGGGAGTAAATGTCACATGTATACAGGGTTAAAGCTGGAAAAGGCTGAGTCAGAATTATGTAGGAGTCAATTACTTCATTTGGCATGGAGATGGCTACAATGGCCAGGGTAAAGATGTGAAACTGGTGTAGGCAGACTTGGGATTTTCTGCTGCCACCCCCCCCACCACTTTGGTAGGTCCTTTTTTTAAAAAAAAAACTGTTTTAAACTCATTTTAAAACTTATACTGCAGTTTGGGGCATTTCCTACCTCAACGTGTGGTATCACCTGGCCAATCTTACCTGGGCTTGAAAACTAAACAGAGTTAGACATGATTAGTACTTGGATAGAATACCACAAGGGAATACCTGGGCTGTAGGCTACACTGCAAAGCTGAAATTTATCCTGAAGAAGGCAATGGCAGCCAAGAAAATTGCATGGTTGGGTCTTTGAAATGACCAGGAGTTGAGCCTAAGGGCATCATTATAATATTTATTGATTTACAGGAAAAAACATTGTACAGTATATCAACTACATGCTAGTTTTGGGTCAAAGGCAGCTCTGTAGATTCAGGAGTAGCATGTAGCCTCAAATTGTCCATTCACACTTGCTATATTTATTAGATTTATATCTGGCTTTTCATTCATCAGCTCAAGGTGGCATACATAGTGCTCTCTTTTCCTATTTTTTCCCACAACTACAATCCTATGATGTAGTCTGGGCTGAAAGACAATGATTGGGCCAGTGTCATCCAATGACTGGTTTTAAATGTCACTGTTAATAAGCAAAACAGGTCTGTAATGTGTAATTAGAATACAGTTGAATTTGAATAATTCTACTAAAGTTTATGAAGCCTTCATAATCACCAGGGAGTGTTAGATGATAAATAGTAGATATGTTGTTACACAACTTTCATTTACAATATATCAGAGATTTGAACATCAAACTCCAAAATACCTGGTTACAATCAATCAAGTTATATTTATGAACTCATCACAGTTTTAACTGGAAGGAAAAGCAGAGTATTTTCAATGGTGTTCTGCAACTATTCAATCAAATCAGAACTCACAATTTCTGCATAGCAGGAGACTTTTCTGCAATAACCAAAACTGTTAACAAATGGTAGAAATCCAGCTTTGTCTTTAAGTTCTGAGTAATAAAGAACCTGAAGGAATTTCTTCATCCTCAAAAGTTTTGATGGTATATTCAATAAAATTTGGTGTGACTGCCTTTCATTTTTTCACATAATCAGTATCAACATGTTGTTCACTGTTGGCCTTGACTCTGGCACCTTTCATAAGATTTATTTTCTAAATAATCTACATTTTTGTGTGATGCATTTCACAACGTCTTTCAGATTTTTTTCTGGTAGGATTATACTAAAATGGCACAGCATATGCCATTTCAT